TGCACTCAATCGTCATTTGCATCGATATAGCCCGGACTTCGAAGGATTAGTTTCATGATTATAGCCGAGGTGGATCGTGTTAATTCTCTAGACTCCACATATATCGGAAGATACTGATATCCTTACTTTACAACCCATCTAAATTGTGGGTTGCGGTTTCGAAGAACCGCTAGTATTACCAATTCTTCGAACTCCATGGTTATAAGTCAACGACACATATCTCATCTTTCTATTGTCCATTTTTTTCGAAATTTTTTCGTTTATTGGCAAACCAACGGTCTAAGGATATTTCTTGTAGAAGTCGAACTTTACTTTCACATCCTTAAACTCCATACCTACCATGGATTCTTTCCATTCACTCCCACTGAGGTTTCACCTTCTACTATGTTAACGGAGTTTGTAACATTCTCATCATCAGATCCCGCTTGAACATCAACATTCTCGCTGTACACTACTCCATAATTTTCTACTGCGGTAACATAAGAAGACATGTTCAGGAATACAGACAAACACAACAATAAGTATATAAACAAGTGATCACAAAATGTTTATTCACAAGCACTATGTTCTTTGGGTTTATTGTTCCTCAGTTTTTTATTCCTCAATATAGTTATTGTTCCTCAATTTATAAGTGACAAGAAAAAAATTGAGTACTGCAATGGCAACTAAACCCTCGAATCAACCCTAACCTAGGTATAATATGACGAACATAGCCACTGACATATGAGAATTAAACATAATATGAACCACAAACCATTATCACTTCTACCGAAAACCTCATTTCATAGCTTCAAGTTCTTAAAAATCGAAAATGTCCTTTTTATATTTTACAATCGGAACAATTAATCTTAGTAAATAGGGGACAGAGATGATAAGGATACATTAATGTTGGTGGCGACGACGAAACACGACCTAGTATTTGGAATTGGACCATGAACCTCACCTAATCGACTTGGGTATTCGACGACAACATGATGACAACCTAGGTCACTATTTTAAGGGTTGGGCGGGGGAACAACTATAGGGATTCTACCACCACCGTGTGTTCGTTGTCAGGGTTTGTTGTCTTCGAGTTGGAGGATTTGGGAAAAATTTCATTTTATATGGGCTTATTGAGGGTATAACTTGAAGTTAGCCTGCACTTCTGATCGCATGTGTGCCCATTTTACTCCACTTTTTTTATTGGACACGTCAATCAATTTAAATCCCTATCAATAGGAGAGGTCATTACCATGTTCGGCTAGCATTATTAAATGTTGAACCCCAATCTTGAGGGCCTTCATCGCCCCACCTCTAGAGTTTTGTGAGGGAGGTAAATCACGGGATGTGTCCCAACAGGTCAGGGAACAAGAGTTGTCTGTACACTGCGCTTACAAGGAGTCAAATTCCATGTCTTAGGAATCGAATTCCCACATTATGGCTGCCAGCAAGGTGTGAGATAATCTCACTCCTGTCCTTTGCACCACTGGACTATGCCTCGGGGGTTGTTCGGCTAGCATTATTCGTTGTACATTGAATTGTTATAC